GAAGTATACGTAGGGAGAAATATTAGAGCATCAAACCCAAACCAGCAGCTCTGCACCCTCACAGCTGTGTTGCTGCCTAATATGACAAAGATTGCGTGCTGAATCTTGGAGGACTGAGCTGATATCTGATGGCCTCAAGCCCTGTCTTGACGGCCGACTGGCTGGCAGCCTGTCCCCTCTGGTGTTCCCAAACAAACCTCCAACAACTCGAACTCTGTCCCACTTAAAAGGAAAAACGACAATTAGCTGGGAAAGGGGAGAAAAAGAGGAAGAAAAACAGCAGTGCGAGGGAGGGTAGAGCAATAGAGAGTAAATAATAATACAAAAGAGATTGCAAAAAGTGAGGAAGGAACTAGAGCAACAAAGAAAACAAAGTGGGGGAAGAAAAAAATGAAAATGCAAGTTCTCAATCAACAGGAATATATGAACACAGCAGCTCAGATTATTACCAAACAGTAGATCTACAGAAGATTAAGTGGTCCATTTGGAACTGGAAGGTGTGACAGAGCTGCAACAGCGCCCCCTAGAGGTCAAAGGGAAACACTGACATTGAGTCCGACAAGTCATTTTTATGCCAGGCTGTAACCTACTGTACATGTCTAATCAAAGTATTCTCAGGGCTCCTTAAGCTCTTTAAATATCATACAAAAGCAACCCCCCTTCTCTGCTTTGTGGTCACTTTGTTTGGAGCAAAGAACAAACAACTTGGCTTAGTTCTGCAGCTGCTGGACATTTTCACAATTGCTGCACTTTTGAAAAGTTTAATTGGAGACACAGAGTTTTTGCATAATGTCTAATGTGGACTTATTTTACATACAGGATGGCCCAGAGGTAAAAGACGCCCGCCAGCAACCGAAAGGTCACTGGTTTGATTGCCTAAGAGCCCTTGAGCAACCCCAGCCTCTCTGATGTTATGCATATGTGTGGGGGACTGTATGTGTAACTAGGAAGGATGTGCAAAAAGATAAGAAGTAATCTTCTTCTACACCCAAATTTTCTCAATAATAGTACACCGCATAACCTCTGCTGATACATACTTTAATAGCAGTATGAGGGATTGTTTTGTTTAATGATGGTGATATAAAAAAAGAAAAGCCCATTTTATTATATATGATTCCTGATGGTGTATGTGTAAGGTTGGTGCTCATTTAGCAGTGAATGCTGCACACGGAACACTACACCACTGTGCCACCCCCCAAAGTAAACACTGGTCACGGCCCAGGCACTCCTATGAAAATGTGTTGGCTTTGCCACTGTTGTGGGGAAGAGTAAGGGAGCTAATGTGCAGCCTGGAAGACACTAAAGAGACAACGTTTGCTGATTTGATGTGTACAACAACCGCCACTGTTCACAGATGTGTCTGTAGAGCTGTCAACAGTAACCACGGGTCAAATCTAGTCTTTTGTTTCAGTTCACACCATTTGTGCTTTCACAATGTGCAGTATGTGTACAATAAATGATGTGTCACCGAAGCTCAGTTCAATTTAAATGAGCGGAACTGAGAGAAAGACAAAGGCAGAGGAAGAGAGCGATACAAACAATATGAGACATACTGTGGATTTAGATAGAAAGAGATAAAACAGAGGAAACAGATGAGGAGGAGGAGAAGAGAAGGAGGAATTGCTGATTATAGCATTCATCATGAAATATTGTAAACTGCATGTTCTTTTACTATAAGCCTGTTAGTTAGATGTCAGTGACGTCAGTACGGCATAGGTGCATTATTAGATTGCTAGATGCATCAGTGTGTAAGCAGCATTTTAGTGTTGTGGTTTTAAATACTTTATATACAGTGAGCTAGTTTAGCCCAGTGATTCCTAACATAGTGTTAGATAGAGTCTCCTTCAAAGGGTCACAAGATGTGAGAGTCCATGAGCTGATTAATGGTAGAGGAATGAAGAATTACAAACAAATCTGTATTTATATTTTAGACTTTCCCCTAATAATACCTATGAGTATTATATTCCATTTGTGCCAGAAATGTTACACACTGGACCTTTAAGTACAGTGCTTGAGTAAATGTTACACCCCTGGTTCAAGTCCAGCTGAGGTTGGTTGCATGTCACTTCCCTTCTCTCTTTCCCCTCATTTCCTGTCCTCTGTCTAGTGTTTTCTATCTAATTAAGGCAGTATAAAATAAATAGTTAGAAGTTATAACTATTCTATGACCAAATTCATAGTTAATAGTTAAAAGTTAAAGGCTTTAATTTCTTTACTATATAGTCATACAGTCATCATTATCATCATATTAATAATTAAACATGTTTTGTTTTACAAACTGATTACACATTAAAAAAAAGAAGTAAAAACAGACAACAAAAACAAGTTCAAATGTAAATATCACAATTCAGTAATAAGTGTATAATATGCATAAAAAGTAGCCAATAAGAAAGAGTTAAAAATGCTATAAAGGCTTTGGTCTTTTTTCACCCATGACCTCTATATGCAACATTAACAACAACAACTTAGTCTGACTCATAGGTGCTGGGGAATAATACAACAGGTGGGTGGAGAGAGACTCAGACAGAGAGAGAGAACGCACGAGAAAGAGAGAGCGAGAGAGGAAGTGGTGAGGATGCTCTAGTCGCTGCAGCACTTTGCTCCTCATCTCAGTTAGTCAGTCAGTCATTCTGAGTTTACATCACACGACATATCATCGCTGTTTCACTGACCTGCATCCACGAGCGCCTTCATACGGCCATGCCTGAGGTAAGAAGGCATTCATTTCCTGTCAACTCTATTAGAAAGTGAGGATGGAGTCTAACTTTTATTTCTGTTTCTGCATGAGTTAGACTCAGCTGTAGGTATGTAGTTGTTTATCTACTGTTGTGAAAAATTAATACTTCTGATAGAATAGTGTCAGGCAGCCCGTACAGGCTATTTCTGTGTCGCTCAGGAGGAAGATGAGCTGATGATGGTATCACAAAAAGGAAACCAGCTCCACTTCCCTTTAGTCAGAGACATAAAGTAAAATGTTGACACTAAGTTGGATGGGGTTGTCATCATTTACATGTATGCAAAACACCTGCAGTGTGCATGTTGTGTAAGAGAGCGCAGGTTTAAATATTCACCAGTGTTCACCAAGCCTGACAACTTAATATACACTGCACAGCCTGTACACCTAGCTACAACTTTTGTAGTACTTTTGTAATACAACAGCCCTGTAACAAATCCTACCTTCGTAAAGGTAATGTTCAGTTTTTGTTGAAGCCATGTTGTTGATTGAACTGTGTCATTTTGGAGGATGTGGTGCTGTTAAATTGTACTGTATTTGTTGTAAAATTTCATAGGCTATTGTTATATTACCAGTTATTTTTTAATGGTATGTTAATTCCATTGAATTTGTTTTAATTGCTAAAGATCAGTCCGTATTAAATAACATAAGTCACATGACACATGCCAGCCACCATGAACCGTGTGAGCCATACTAATGGCACGGCTCTAGAATTAGCAAAGTCATGCCTGTTAGTAGTTCCACCACTTAAGACCAGACTGAAATATCTCGACAACTAGTGGATGGATCGCAGTCAAATTTTAGATAAACATTTGTGGCCCCCAAGGAGGAATCCTACTGACTTTGGTGATCCCCTAACTTATCCAGTGGCACCACCATAAGATTTACATTTTTGGCTTTAAGTAAAATATCGATAACTATTAGATGGATTGCCACACAATTTGGTACAGACATTCATGGTGCCCAGGGGATGAACCCTAAACCTGACTACTTGTTCTACTGTGAGCTTTCCTCTAGCACCACCAAAAATCTGCTACATGAATTTGCACCCACCTTTGTACAAATATTCATGGTTCCCAGATGATCCTAATAATTTTGGTAATCCTCTGACATTAAGTGCCACCAATCCATTTTTTGGGATTTGAGTGAAATATCTTGACATGTATTGGTGGATCGCCATGAAATTTAGTACACAAATTCATGTCCCCCTCAGGATGAACTGTAATAACTTTGGATGATACATCATAGTGCCATCATCAGGTCAGAATTTGTATTTTCGTCGAATATTTAGTTTATGACTAAACCTGGAAAAACCAATGACATTCCCATCAGCCACAGCTGTTTTGTGCTTATTAGCAAATGTCAGCATTCTAACAAGCTAATCTATGACTGTGAACATGGTTAAATATTATACTTGCTTAACACCAGCATGTTGGCATTGTCACTGTGAACATGTTAGCAGGCTAACTTTGGCACTCAGTTCAAAGCACCAGGTACAGCTGTAGACTCTGTTTACAAATAAATGCAAATTGATATCACTGAAATGGAAATTAAACATAAAAATAGCCTTCAAACCTTTACATAATGAAGATTTAACTTGTCTTTTATATATATAGCTAAAGCAATATAAATTCTTGTCAGTGATTGGACAATTCTCAATTTATTATGTCCCAGGTGGGAATTGAACCCCTAACTCATTAGTTATACATGCTACCAAACTACACAACACTACCTGTTTTACATTCACAGTCAAAAGCCATTTTGCTTGTTATTTATCATTATTTGCAGTCTGGATTATTATTATTGATATATAGCAATTAGGCACACTACGAATTTGTTTTGTCATTGTTTTGAATTGAAAGGCATGCGTCTAATCTTTTTAACTATGCAGAAGGCAAACTAATGCACTTACAAATGCTTAGTCCAAAGTGCTGTGCCCACGTTGTGCTCCCACGTCATTCAGAGTGAAGTGCTGCAGAGGAAGCATGAAATTAACTGTCACAGACTGTACATATATGTAATTAACCCCTTTCAATACTCTAACCACTAAGTCTGTTTATGAAAATGACTAATATTTAGCAGGTTTCTTGATCTCTTCATCCTCCAATTAAAACAGGCAAACAATTTAACTGCAGGGCAAATCCTGGAGAAACAAGGACTCTCATCATGACGCTTATGAAACTGTTTCATTCTCCTCGAGTCAGACCACAACACCACATCCTGAGGCAGTACTTAAAATAAACAGGGGTTTGTTTGTTAGGATCTGTGCTGAAGTTTGCAAGTTTGCTCAAGACACAAATAGACATTTTGTTCGGAATGTAACCTTTTTGTGTTTCACACACTAATGTTTGCATCATTGGAGCAACATGGCATGGAAAGTAACAAACAATTCATGAGAAAAGCCTTTAGTGCTTAAGTCAGACCACCCTCTATAATAATCAGGTAGGCAAATTAATACAGTATTTATATGGCATTAGAAGGGTTACACACTCCAGGTTTAGTAGCTACCTGTAAAATAGGTATCGATATGTTCAGATGAATAGTATTAATAAAAATGTATTTAAGGTTACTTGTGGAATTCCTCAAGGCACAGTGTCAGGCCCATTATTGTTTATTTTGTAAATAAATAGCTTATTTATTTATGATATATTATAGGTTTTCCAAACATTAAAATGTATTCTATTTACAGTTCTGTGAATCATTTGAAACAGTTTATTGATGCTGGAAAAATAACTGAAACTTGTAAAATGTTAGTTAGTGTTAATGTTTATTATAACAAACTATCATTACAAAGACAAAACTTATCATAGGTGAAAACATCTGAAATCCGAGTTATTAAAAATAACAAATTATAGTGAAAACCACATATAAATGATGTCCAATCAAAAATATCAAAATCTATTGCAATACTGTATAAAAAAGGACAAGCTTCATTATATACTTTGTGTTGTTCACTTACTGTGTGATTCATAAAATATATAAATATATACTTTAAAATTTGAGATGTGGTATGGTTTAAAACAGCATGTACAAGATCAATTACTATGGCTAAAGGTATCCAACACTTTAAAATGAGAGAAAGTCAATATGACATGAGAAGAATCTGTATGTGTAAGAAACAAAGGGCATTATGTTGGTTCAAATAAATAAATAATAAATATAAAAATGTATGAGATTGGCATGTTGGCATTAATATGCAAAAAGGTTCAGGTTTATATGCTTCAGTATTAAAAAAAATATTTCTGTTGCTGCATTATTTTATTCTGTACTGCTGTAATTGTTTTTCTATTTCCCTAAATTGTTAAATTCTTTACAGACCAATATATTGAATAGAAATGTCAGGGTTTGAATCTTTGTAATAATTTATATAAACCTTTCTGGAGTTGCTCCCATGCCTCCAGTAGCTTAGTATACAAAAATATTGAAAAATATTAAAGTTAATTTGCGTGAGCGGTTTACATAGACTGGCATTCAATAGATCCCACTGCAAATGTATGATGCAGGTAAATGTTTTCAAGTGGATTTCAGCAGCAATCACCACAGTTACTCCTTATTTAAGCACTGCAGCAGAAAAAGTATTTTTTGTTTCTGTCTCTGTTTTGGACATCAATCTGGCCTTTTACAGGAGTTGGGGTCACATTATGTAAGCAAGAAATTCTCATTTGCATAGGCCTACTGTTATAAAAGAGTGGAGTTTGGTATGTAATGTTTTTCCAATCCTTCTTAATTAGGATCAAGGGTTGTTGTGTCGGATTTTAGAGCTAAAGACTCTGACAAAAACACTGGTGATCCCTCAGAACTGAGCAGTGCCCTGGACAGAAAGGTCTGCACATTTTAAGGCTCTGTAAGTCATATGAAAGACGTTAATGGAAAGGGAAATTAGAACTAGACAAGATGAGATTGTTATTGCCCTGAAATGCTAGTGCAACTTGGGTAATCAGTTGTAGCTGTGCAGTTTTTCACCTGCTGAAACTTTGCTTTGCGTTGACATACATGCAAATGCCACACATTGTGTAACTCCTCTTCTCTCTACCTCATCTACAGGACTGGCATACCTGGAAAATGCAGTTTCGGTAAAGCCCATTCAAGATAAATCACTGCGCCAGGTCAGCCATCGTTGGGGGGGAAAAAGGAACTCAGCCTGCTTCACAGTTGGAGGAAGGACATCTGAGCTTCCCTCTGATCAAGTTCTCTCTGCCCGAAAGATGTCAACCGCCAGCACTGACAGTGTAGGAAGAGGAACCAAAACCTCCAAAGTGTCAAAGGATCATAAAAAGGTAAGCAGGGGTCATTATTAATAACCACAGTCTCTTCAATTAAGTAAAGGGCCTAAACATTTGGAAGACAGCACTATTACAACACCACTGCTGCTGATATCAAAACTGAAAATGATTGTGTAAGGTTATTCAAATGATCCTACAATTTATTAGATTGGCCTCATCATTTTTAGTTTACAGAGAGATTTCACTGCAGTTCAGTTTATTGGAAGAACATTCTTCAAGTCATTTTATTTTTATTTTATTTGAGAGACTGATTCTTTATGTATTAAATATAATATATTATATATTATATATAATATTATATATTAGGTCCCTCATGCTGTAGTCAAAATGTCTCCACACTTCTTTATTGTAGTTATGAGGAGCTTATATTAGACCATCAAAACAGTTTGTTTTAAAGGGCATTCCTCTGACTTTTCCACCATGAGGTTGACGTTTTTGGTTTTAAGTGAAAAGTCTTGACAACTATTGCATGGATTTACATAAAATTAGGTACACACATTCAGGTGGAAATTTCAGCTTGTCCAATACTTTTGTTTATGACCCAATACCTGCAAAACCAACAACCTTCCTGCTAATTACAGCGGGAATATATATACTATATATTTAAATCAGTAATGCATGATTTGCATAATAGTAAAAATAGTGAAATAAAATAGTGAAATAAAAATTTTAAATGCTTAGCCAGCCACTTTTGACTGTGTGTCACTGCATCACACTATCCGTTACAGTTACAGAAAAATAAGACGTAATCAGATTACAGTTACATTTAGTAAAAGTGAAAATTATTTAGCAAGATTACAAATATAAAATGCATCCGCTTTTCTTTAAAAATACACTAACACTTCTCATGCTAAAAATCTTTCCATTTTCCATTTTTGTGATATTGTTATGTTGTTTTAAAGAATACACTTGTATCAATACTTCTTATTGATTCTTCTTTTCTCTTGTCTTTATTTACATATTTGGTGTTGAGGTAATCTAAAAGAAAGGGAAACTAATCAAGTTATATTACTTTAAAATTGTGATAGTTGGATTGCTAAACATCAATATTGGCACTGTGAACACATGAGATCTACTGACTGACATTGCCATCCCTTGAGCCACACTGCACGCTGAAAACTATTTGAGCAGGTTTCAGCAGGTTTCAGCAGATTTCGGAGAAAGGTTAGGCAGTTGTTAATGAAGAACTAGTTGATTTCTTTATTAAACAACAACATGTTTTCTTCTTCTCTGTTATGGTTTGCCAGCCCACGGCGTCAGCCCTGAAAGGAGCCATCCAGCTGGGCATCGGTTACGCTGTGGGAAACCTCAGCTCAAAACCAGACAGAGATGTTCTCATGCAGGACTTCTCTGTGGTGGAGAGTGTTTTCCTGCCCAGGTACACTGTCCTTTCTTCACATTTTTATTGTTGACATTTAGTTAAAGCACACATTCAAAGTCAGTTTCAGATTAATAAACTTAAAGAATGAGTTCAGCCAGATTACAAAAATATGTGCAATATTCCCAAGATTTGAACTCATTTTCAACACAAATTCATACACAATCATCATTTGTCAAAAAGACAACATAGCCAGTCTATGTTGTCTTTTTGGCATGACCTTACAGTATTGTTACCCATAACAAAAATACTTCACAATGCTTTATTTTACAAGTTCCTTTTCAACTTTGAAAAAATGCAGGTGTGGCAGCATACAGATCTGTATTAATGTTGAGAAAAATGGGGAAGTCACTTTTGGAAATGTACAACCAAATAACTTGCAGTTTTCTGCAATAGTCCTTTCTCACAGCAGACATTTTTGACTCATAGTAGAAGAAATTCAGGTGTTACTCATAATGTTAACAATGGTTCTGTTAAATTCAAGTGTCCCAGTAAGCCAGCTGCTGTTTTGTGTTTGTACATTGATTATTTTCTTATCCTGACTTTAAATATGTTCTCCAGTGAGGGCAGCAACCTGACTCCAGCACATCATTTCCCAGACTTCCGCCTGAAAACGTATGCCCCGCTGGCTTTTCGCTATTTCAGAGAGCTGTTTGGCATCAAACCAGACGACTATCTGGTTAGTGTGAAGATTCACATCATCATATTTTCCTTTTCAGCACGATGTGGCGGAAGTTTCAGTTGACTCCGTTGCTACACTTGCTCACACTGTTGCATCATTCTGAATTTCAGTATTCCATCTGTAATGAGCCTCTGATCGAGCTGTCCAACCCCGGAGCCAGCAGTTCCTGGTTCTACCTCACCAGCGATGATGAGTTCATTATTAAGACAGTGCAGCATAAAGAGGCCGAGTTCCTGCAAAAGCTGCTTCCTGGTTACTACATGGTGAGCGCCTTCCTCAACCACAAACTGTCACAGCTTTTACACATATTTATCAAACTGCTAAAAGTGCAAGTCTAGACATAAGGGTGTCCTGTGGAGGAGTTTTCTTGTAAACTTAGTGTTGCTCATCAGTACAAGGTTTGACATTTAACATTTGTAAACCAATTAATTTTTTTATTTGTTTACGTCCCTGTTTGCTAGCTTGCTTCTTCTTACTTTCATTTGTTCCTATTTGCGTTAGCACCATCCACTGTCCATCAGCAGAATAATGTTGACAAACTTGTAAAACCATAGCTTTTTACCAGTTCATCCCACTACTACTGATAAAAACCACAGGCACAGGGTACCTTTAAACGAAAGATAAAGTTATAAATCCATATCTTACTTACTCCTACTTACAGATTGTAAAATAAATTCTATTTATTAACTTAATATATTTAACTTATCTTAATAATATGATGTGCCTTAACACCAACACATTTTTGGCAAGTGTAATTTTATGGTCAGAGGTAGTCATTTCATTCACCCCTCAACAAGCAGGAACATTCATGTTAAAGGCAACATCCCCAACCCGTTCTTATCCCTGGTCGACAAATCACAACTCTTTGTCATGCCCCTCGTCGCCTCATACTGATGCACAATGCACCTTGTCACTGTGAGATGCACTGGGCCGCCACAAAGCCTTCCTGCCAGGAAGCCTTTTTTCGCACATGGTTAATGTTGTGAAAACTTAAAATAACTCAATGATTACTTTTGGTTTCACATGGAACATAAACCCCAGGCTCCTGGGTGAATTTCCTGTGTTTGTTGGAGCCACCCCCTCCAAGTGCAGTTTCTCGCTCTTTATACTATGTCACCTGAGTTGGATGGGTTCACATTGAAGCCTGGTGCGTCTCGTACAGGCGCTAAAATTGTGTGTTCACGGGATGAGTCATTTCCATGCTTTCCATTCCTTGTTTATTTTGTGACTATAAGCATCCATTGCTGGAAAGGGGATCCAAAAACGCCCTTGTGGGGACACTACAATGGTACAGACACACCTGATCCTTTAACTGATCTGTCCCTGCAGTAAATTTACCTTATGAATTTACATAAGCAAGACTCAGTCCGTCCAAAGCAGCAGGATCATGAAACTCAGTTCAAACTGTAAAACTAGGCAATGCTGATCAAATATGAATCAAGATTCTGTTCTGCTTTGCCTATTCCTCGCCTCAAATGTTGCCTTTTTCGAAATATATTTTAGTTTACTCTTTTGTCGTAATATGTAAACATGGGATGACATGCACCAAGCGGCCACAGGTTGGTTCTGAACCCTGGGCAGCTACAGCAAGGATTCAACTTTGGTACATGGTGCGCCGTGGCTCGACCAGGCTCTACTATCCGGGCCCAAAGACTATGCATTCAGAATCATGATAAATAGTCTCCAGTAGCTCCAGTAGCCATAGAAATTTCAGTGGATGATACGCTTGGTGACCTTCACTTAAGGGGCACTGAGGTTTATTCAGTACACCACTGAGCAACCTTTCTGGAGAACACATAAGGTGGATTTAGTTTACGAGTTGCAGCTGCATCTTTCTTGTAAGCTCTTATCTCAAGGCAAATTATTGATAGGATGTTACACCCCCTTTTTGCATTCCTCAGTGGTGGAAACGACAAGATTTGTTCTTGCACCTGGCATTCATTTTGTTTGCAGTCTCTTGCAAAGCAGACAGTGGTCACTGTGGTATTAAATTCCCCTTATCATACTGTGTGTTTTCTCTGATGTATACCTCCCCTCCCAGCAGCAGGAGGGTTTTTTTTTCAAGTTTCCTATTATGTCATCCCTGTCTATGTGGGACTACTCTTCTGCATGTTAAGTGCTACTGGAGGTATCTTTTTTAGAAAGAATGATCAGTGGGGCAGATGTAGGCTGTGTCTGATTGGCTATTTTTGCTTAAAGTATACATGTGATTAATCATGAGATCACTCAAAGGTTCCTCCCACACTTTACTCTAGGAGTGAGTCTCTTGATAAAAATTCTTCAAGTAAGTCTTCTTAACTATTTGGTGAGAAAAGTTAGCATTCCTAAGTGTATGTCTTATAAATCAGGCCCATGGTGGTTACTGAGAAACATCTGAATGTGGCCATATCAGATCATTTACATTCCCTGCAATAACCTGACTATCCTAAAGTTTGTATTTACACGCAGCTGATTGGTATTTAAATTTCTCCTCTAACCACCACCACCTTAGTTTTGGGAACGTTCTGTGGTGAAACAGTTCACAGTTCTTCCTGTGTGTTCATATATTCTTTGAACTACAAATAACCCACTTTTCATGTCCTATCGGGGTTATTTATTTAAATTCCTGTTACTTTTTTCATCTTTTTGAGGGACCTACATGTAGCTTAAAACCATATTCATAACTCAATTAAGTTTGTATGACTAAGAATGTAGGTTCTTGAAAATAAAATCTGCTTTGTCTTTGTTACTGTAGAATCTGAACCAGAACCCGAGGACGTTGCTGCCAAAGTTCTACGGCCTTTACTGCATCCAGTGCAGCGGCATTACAGTCCGCGTGGTGGTGATGAACAATGTGCTGCCGCGCGCTATGAAGATGCACTACAAGTACGACCTGAAGGGTTCCTCGTACAAACGTCGCGCCTCACGCAAAGAGAGCGCCAAGCAATCGCCCACGTTCAAAGACCTGGACTTCCAGGAGATGCACGAGGGCCTGCACTTCGACTCAGACACCTACAATGCCCTGATGAAGACCCTGCAGAGGGACTGTCGGGTGTGTTCACACAAAGATCTTGGAATGCCTTTTCTGTTAAAAATATCATCATATTTCAGCAAGTGCATTCAAAACAGAGTTACAGACATTTTTCACTGCTCGAGACATTTTTACATGTTCACTTATTTATTATGTTTTACTGTCCAATCAGTAGGGGACACTGGGCTGCCAATGGTGGTTCTCAACCGGTGGGGCCCTCTTCCGGGGGGGCGCGAGTAGGCTACAGGATGGGAGGAAAAAGAAAAAAAAATCAGAAAAAAAAAAAAAAATCACGAAAATTCCCCCCCATGTCGAAATGCAAGTGGTTAGACTATTATAACACACAAATCAACCACACAGTTTCATTTCAAATCTACCAATACAGGGGGTAGTATTTTGAGCCTGTGACGTGACGTCATGTAAGTGCTACTATATACTACTAGCGACTTTTGCTGGTGTTATTGGAGACTCTGACGTGAAAGCACGTATCACTCTGCAGTTACTGTGCTCAACGAGCAGCGGGTGCTGCCGTGAGCCCCTCCCCCGTCCAAAAGCACTCACAGGCGGTCAGTCTCTCTGTAGCCTCGCGCAGCAGTCCCAGCCTGCAGTCAGAGCAGAGAGGAGACACACACCACTCCACGTCCAGGCTGCAAATGAATCGCGCACAACACTTGTGCCAAGAATTTGGGATTTTGCAAGGCAAAGCAGGCTCAGGGTCTCAAACATTTAACAAATGCGCCTACCCGCTTGCAAGCTTCTGTTAAAAAAATGCAGATGAAATACTGCCTAACTATTAAGGCCTAGTGAATAATAACAATAATCAAGCTGAACCTGCAATTGAACCACTTGGGGGGGCCAGCCTTGCAAAAGGTTGAGAACCCTGGGATTTAAGGAGAATGGTGATCTTAGTCTCCATGACGTGCGATAAAATAGAATTGAGGTTCTTCCAACACAGCCCTGAAGGTTTGTTTGTATGTCCGTTGTTTCATGGGCCAAAGTGTTGGTCCAAAGTTAATTTAACCCACCAGAGGGCCCCTAAAAACCCTATAAGGTTCAGTCCTGGGGACCCATGGAATTCATCAAAATTTAG